GGTGTTCAGAGTGCGGCTCCCCTGGAGAGGGGCGGGACTGGCCCCTGGGAAGCTCTGGAGACAGCTCTCGCCCAGCTGTGCTCTCGAGCCTTCCCTTCTTTAGCTCTTTGTCCCCAGGATGGCTTTGCTGGGAGAGGGGATGGGGCACAGACAAACCTCCCCCGGCAGCTGAAGAGGAGGGAGAGGGCCCCTGTGCAGGCTGCTGTGGGTGGTGGCTTACCTTGCAGCTCAGCCTGCGGCTCCCATTGTCCATGCTCACCAGCCAGGCAGGCACTGCTCTGACCAGAGGCTGAGGGCACCACCTTTTTATCAATGAAAAGCTGCTGCTCCTGCCCCTTTCCCTTTCAGTGGGGCGGTGGGGCTGCCCGCTTCTGTCCGGGAGGACAGGCTCATCTGCCCTGACCTTCCAGGGCCATCTCTGCAGGAAGTGGGGAATGAGTCGGAATCACAGTAACCCCCCAACCCCACACATGTGCTGTGCTGTTAGCTGAGTCACTGTTTGGCTTCAGTCTAGAAATAACGTGATTAGAGCATCGATCTTGTGCTTGGACTTGGCGAGTGTTCTCTCCTTGTTTTGTTCATTTTCTGGGCTGTGAGGAGCATGACACAGTTCGAGACAGACACGGTTTACTTAAATGAAGAAGTTAATAACATTTCCAAATCTAGCGTGTGTTTTCTTAACCGTTGCCTTTTTCACAGCTTCATGCTGCCTTGGAGAAAGGGGGTAGTCTCCTCTACTGCTCCGATTTCTGATACTCAGTGCCTCCAGCGAGGCCACTTCTCAGCAGGTGGCTGTGGTCCAGCGCCTCCCCCGCGTGGGCTCCACCCAGCCCCTCCCGCCTCCCCTGCAGCTCGCCTGGATGAGGGTGTTGGCTCGTTCAGACTGTGCACTCAGTGGGGGCCCAGGCCTCATCAATTCTTTCATCACCTGGCACTCGCTTGTGTAGTCAATGTTTACATGTGAGAAACTCCACCTTAGACAAACTACCAAAGGAAACGGTATCTCCCCTGCCGAATGCCTCATAGAGAAACGGAGCCTTGGATTTGCAAGGAAAATCTGTAAACCAGTCTGTTTGCCAAAGTGTATGCTGGATGACGAAGGAGCAAAAAGCCCCCAAAAGCTGACCCGAGTAGTTTATTGTATTTGCCTGTGGCCGGTCTTTTGTGAAATATAACGTCGTGTCGATGCAACAGGAGATTTAATAAATGTCTACAGCAGATGTCTCGCCTGCTATCGTCATTTATTGTGGCAATAAGGAGCCAGTGCTTTTGGCAGTCAGGTACGTGAAGGCGGTTCTGCCGGGTGGAGAGAAATAGGATGTCCCCAGGCTGGGCACACAGGTCATGACTAATGATATTTATCAGCCCAGCTCTGCCCGGGCACAGGGCTGGTGGGAGGCTCTTCCATGTGATGAGGGAAACCCCTTTCTCACCCCTCGAGTGGCCTGCACGGTGGAGCTGTAAGGGGCTGATGAAGGCCTCAGCAAGAAGTTCCCCCCAGTATTCCATTAACCTTTTTCTTTTTAAAAATATGCCTCTTTATTCCTTAAGAGCAAAGCCTTGAGAACCGAGGTTCCGGGAACGTTGGGTGGGATCTCACCGGACGGAATACACCGTGTGCTCCTGAAAAGCACTTAAAACGACTCCACAACGTAGCTCACTCCACGGGGACCCTACAGCAAACCCTCTGATGTGGTAAACAGTCCTTTGTTGACACAAATTCTTCCTAACAGTTCCTTCCTTTTCCGCGTGGTGTCTGAGCCAGGGCTGCAGAGGTCTTTGCTTTATGCAGCTGAAGAGTCTTTCTCCCGAATCAAGGTTCTCTGTGGACCTTCATTTGCTTAAAAGCATGCAAAGCACGTTGCTCGATACACGCCACAGCTGAGCTCTGTCAGGGTCAGGGCTGCGGGCTCTCGGGCGAGGGCAGAGGCACCATGACCTGTGAGTGTGCCCTCTCTCTCTGGCCTTTGGGGGAGCCCCTGAGACTTCAGGGTCTCTGTGTTTGTGAACATTCAAAGGATCCAGACAGGGTGACGCCCCTCCCTCCAGTGTCACTCCTTCACCTCCTCGGGAGGGACCCACCTCCTCACAGGGCCGGGAAGCCCCTACAGGTGCCACAGTGACTCCTCTTGACCTCGGCAGAGTTGTTTCTCCAAAGGAGCACAAAGTAGCATTTTCCAAGCCTCCTTGACCCGCTGCCCTTACTCCTGCAGTTGTTCAGGTTGCTTGCTTCGTGGGTCACCTCTTCTGAGAAGTGGGCAGCCTGGCACAGGGGAACCGTGCAGGCAGGTCCGAATCAGTCCCACCTTTGCCTGTCTCAGGATCTGCATTTGCATTTGGTTTTGGAGAATGATGCCATCTGTCAGAGGTTACGTGAAGAAAATTAGAGAACGTATATAGTCCCTGTCCACAGTGTCTCGAGAACAGCCCAGCACCATGGGCTCTGAACATGGTCTCTGTGGGACCTCCCCTTTCACCACAGGGCCTTCCAGACACAATACACTTATGAACGCCCATCCTTGTTCCTGGGAACAGACTCAGTTCCCAAATTTCTCGAGACTCCTCCAGCTCCCATTTTTAAAGCTGAGAGGATGACGCTGCGTGCCGCCCCCATCTCTGCCTGTGGAAGGGGGTCTGGCTACCTTGTGTGCGCGTGTGCAGCGGGGCATGCGCTACAGGAGCTGCTAAAGGGCGCCTGTGGGGAATGAGAATATGGGGAAGACGGTCTGATTCGGGACCTCTGGGATTCGACAAAGACCTTGTTGTTTGCTGCTGCTGTTTCTTTAGTCAGGTTCAGGGTAAGTTCCTTTTTAAGAATTAGCTTTTTAGGAATCACTACCTTCACCTTTCTTCCAATGTCCCAGGCATCCTTAAAAGGCTTTTTTTCCCTCTTGCCAACCACTTACTCATTTTTTATTTTTAATGAGCTAACTGGCCGCTCAGGAATGGCTCTCAGACCGAGCAGGTGGTTCCTTCGGGTCCTCTCCTCTCCCAACAGTCCTGGCGTCCAGGCTGGGATGGCGGTGCACCCCTGGTCTCCTGCTCCCCAGCTTAGGTTGTGGGGGAAATGGAAGTTGCTACCCAGCAGGCATGTTTGTTCAGCACAATCCGGTGTCTAGAGGAAGTGGTCTCTTTCCTTGCTTGTCCCTGAAGTAAAGAGGTAGGAGCTAGGCAGGAAAGGTGGCCGGACTCAGTGCTGGCCACTTTGTAAGATAATGAGTCTCCACAGCCAATTTCAGGAAATCTGCAGCCTCTCCATTCACAGTGCATCTGCCTAGCTGTCTGCATGGCGAGGATTGGAATTTCCGGCCAGATTTCTGAAAAAAATATAAAGCCACTGGAAGCAGTGGGCTCCCAGCGCTCGCCGAGCCAGTCCTGGGACAGCTAGGGCTGCCCCCCACCTCGGGCACAGCTTCTAACCTAGCAGCTCTAACTGGCGGTCGCCTCAGCCTGCAGTTTTGGGACGGTAGCTGGATTGGGTGCAGCCTCACCTCAGCTATTCAAATGAACCGGGGTCAGTGCTCGCGTGGTGTGGCTGGAGAAAAACTCTTCCACTGAAGAAAAAGCCTCCCTTTCTCATCACACGCGGTGAGCCTCGGCGGACAGGCCTCTGACGGCCTTTTCTTGCCCACGGTTCTCCAGGGCCTATCAGTGTCCAACTCCAAGGAGGTGCTCAAGCACTTCAACCAGTGAGCACAGCCTGAGGGGTGATCGGAAGGTCTCGCAGGAGACCAACCAAATCATCTCGCTTTTGGCCTTCGCCTTACCCTGTGGAGTCGTCCTCAGGAGCTTCCTCGGCACCGCAGGCCTCAGTGAGGGTGGCCTGAGCCAGCTGCCTGGAGAGGTCACGGAAGGAGAAAGCACCACAACGCCATGTTTTTCCAAGTGTTACCCATTTATAAATAAGTACATTTGCTTTCATACATACAGTTCATTGTACAGATGGCGATCTGTATACATGGGCAGGAAAATGCATTCACTTAACTTTTCACATCTATCTCACACAGCTCACATGTACAGACAATAAAACTGCTCAAGCAAGTACAGCAAAGGAAATGCCTTCCTTATACACGGGGGGCTAGACGCCTCTGGTGGGTGTGGGACTCCCCATGGCACGAGTTCACAACTGTGTGGTGTTCAATATATCAGGATAGAGAACAAACATGCATTGGATAATATATACTGTACAGAGAAAGTCCTTTACATCCGAGTTATAGAAAACCTAAAGGAAACTAAGTGCATTAAAGCTTTTTCCAGCAAGTGTCTTGAAAGGACAGCAAAAGGAGGAAGAATCAAAATCAGATTAGTACAAATCACTCTTTAATTGTAGACTGTACATGTCTGTACTAATTGAAATCATCTTGGATTTGGAGGAGACAGAACAGAGACGGAGATGCTGTGCTGTACGGAAGGGAGGCCACGCCTGAGAACGGCACCCGTCCGGAGCCTGACGAGGAACCGGCCCCACTCAGCAGGAATCAGCCAAAGGAAAACAAAACGAAACAGAGAAACGAAGCCAGAATAGGAAGTGTAACTTACAGATTCCCAAAGTAACCTGTGAATGAAGTAGAGATCTAGAGCCAGCATTTCTAACTTTTTTCCAGTTAAGTTGGTACACAATAAGGCAGGTACATTCAAGTACTGAAATTTCCAGAATTAACTCTGTCTGGTCCCAGGGACAGAAGGGATTGAGTTGAGTCCCCCTAACCAAGTGTTTTGGTTAGTGATTAGGCAAAAGAAAAATCCAGCCAGCAAGTGCTAGAAAAACAAAGCAGCTAGGCTCCTCCCTTTCCACAGAGTAGGTCTGTCTGAAAAAACACAAGCGCTGCTGGCCTGCACCTACTAGTATATGCATCCAGCTAAAACCTGACAGGGCAGCTTAGTGGAGCTATCACAGAGTCAGCAGGAAGAAATGAGATGAGGTGGGTGAGGAAACATGAAAGTAACACTTGATTTTTGGTGTCCAATTATGCGTTCATTTGGTACTGACTTTCAAAGCTCTGACTGTGGCCATCATGTGGCCACATCATCTCAGGGTGGCTCAGCTGCTGTGAGGCATTGGACACCGAAATGCAGGTTACCGACACTTCAGCCCTTGAGTGGTCTGTTATAAAAGGAGTTGATGAAGACCCGGTGGGGATTCAAGTAGCGCTGCACATGGCTCCACCAGCCCCATTGTGCTTGTGTCCAGGCCCCCAGCCAGCCACCTGTTCTTGGGAGCAGCCAGAGCTGAGTTCAAGGCATTGCATGGTGAAGGTTTCCATGACACGTCTTTGTAGGTAGCTCTTACCCCTAAGCCCTTTGTTCATTGTTGTTAGTCATGGTAGATGGTCAGTCTGGAATTCCTAAAGGAAAAGGAGAAAAAGCCACACCTCCCAATGCACATGCAACAGGGCAGCTCCGGCCTCCGTGCGGGAGCAGCAGCAGGCTGCCTTGCAGGTTAGCTTGGGAAGTGGGCAGCCCAGGGACAGAGAGGCAGGGTGGGTGAGACTGGGACAGGGATAGGCACATCCTGACCCCCCAGGAGAGACTGTTCCATTTAGTGGCAAAGATTCAGAGACCAACTGGTTTTGTCCAAGGCATTTCTGCAGTAGAAAAATAACTATCTTTGAATCAAACCATCCAACTGTGACACTTCTGGAGTTAATAAAAAGTTGGAGGCCAAGAGGGACTGAGATGGGTGCTCATGGGGAAGAAGGGGTCTTCTACATACCCATCCACCCACCAGAGCAAGGGAGTTCTGGCCAACCTTCTCCCAGCCTCTGCCTGGCTGAAGGTCCAAAGCAGGGTGTTCAAAGAGCTCATCTTCACAACTGGTGCAGATGTGTGAAGATCCCTTTCCAGACCTTTGCTCGCCTTCCTGAACCCTCGGAGCTATGGGCCAGCCTGCTGCCCTAGAGGCAGCCCCCGGAGGAGATGCTGCCTTTCTTTGCTACTGGACAAGCCTGGTGCAGAGCCACAGTGACACCTAGTGGTAAAGTATGGTGAAGCAAGGTGACATCCACAGAACCCAATGTCTAGGACTAAAATCTAAGGAAAATACTTAAGGATATGAAATTAGATACTGATTAATTTTTCTATTGGGTACATCTCTGGAATACAAAAATACCAATATTTAGAGAGGGTTTCATAAACTACTATACAATATAAGGACTAAGAATACCTTTCTCTAAGCTGTTCTGTTTACAATAATTTAGGAAGAGTGTTTAGTAATCCAGGCTTAACTAAATCAGCCAACTTGTATCTCTGGACAACGCCCTGGGGTACTGTACATGATCCTAATAAGTGGAATTTTCCTGAGCCTTCGAGTTTAAGTTAAACACATCTAAGAAGAGGGCACATGGGAGAACAAGAAGGGCTTGTGCTCTATTAACTTGGGACTTTAATAGTGCGCGCCTGCGACCTGGGCGAGCTACAGCAGCAAACACAAAATGGCCTCCATTTTGTCCATGCCAATTCTCATTTACACAGGTTTCCCCTTTACTTTGTAAATAAACATTAATTTTTAATTGTTAGTTGTGTGCCTTACTGATCCAGTAAATAAAGTAACCATGTCTCAGGAGTCCCTAAGAACATTGCTGGAAAAGCACTTTAAAATCACTGCAAATATTTTTTTGTATTTAAAAATTCTTACTCTTTTTGATGCTTATATACAAGTTATTTCTTGTGCTATAAATGTTGTGATCCACTGCTTGATTTCTTTCCTTTTTTTCCTTGAAAAACACACTAAAAGACAAGAGCGTTTTTGCTATTTTCTAATGAAGACAGTACTCACACTTAAATATCCAGTATTAGAGTCACAAATTCAAACAGTAAAGTGCACCCATTTATAGACATGACGTGATGGAAACCCATTAGTGCAAGAATTCTGGGCAAACGGAACATACAACCTATAAGCTGAAGTTTGTCACCACTGTCTCCATTTCAGGGTGATGTGAACAGGATGAGAGGAACTTACTGGTTTCATATGAAAAATCCCCCTCCCCCTGCCCCACCTGAAGCCAGACATTGATTCAGCAAATGCTGTTGGGAGAGGGGCAACTCTCAGGTACAGTACTAAGATCATCCCATGGCAGTGAAGTAGCAAAACAGGGCACAGGCAGTCTGCTTACAAGGAAGAACTCCGTCTCCTCCCCTATAAGGTCCAGTGGGTATTTTGTAGGCAAAAACAACTGGCGCCCAGTAGTGACATTCACTCCCTCTTCCAACGGCTAAAAACAAATTGTATTTTGTCGACATTTTAGGTGTTCTGCCCAATGAGACACAGACCCTAAAATTTCCTGTTTATCCTGGAAAACCGAAAGAGACTGTGGGGAGAAGTAGCATATTTATAAAATCACAGAACCTGTTCACCCACCTAGACAGGGGAGTACAGATGTATGTGTCTTGTTCCAAATAAGCAGGGGCACTTTTCTAAGACACTGAGAAATTTTTCAAAATGTAGCAGCGGCTCCTCAGTGAGAGGTGGCTAAAAAGGATAAGATGCAAAAAGCCCAACAGGGTTAAGACCTGGACAATGAGGGAGTGAGAGGCTGCTGGGCTCCCAGCTGTAGGCTGTACTAATGCTGTACATTTGAGAGAGAGAGAGAGAGAGAGAGAGAGAGAGAGAGAGAGAGAGAGAGAGAGAGACAGACACTGATGCCCATGCTGCTGTCATTGAGCAGATAGTCCTTTGGCATCAGAGAAAGAGTCTGGGTCTTGAGTTAGCCCAGCTGTTGCCTCTAGCATAGGGTCAAGTCCCAGCCTATTTCAGGCTTGGAGGCGGAGGGGGGTCCATCTATTTGGCAGAACCTAAATTAGTAAAGAAGTGTTTCTGGTCTCAATTTCATGCTTCAAGCATGTTGGAGCGATGCTTTCAGAGGACACTTACTATTACAAACTGGTCTGAGCCCATCTGAATTTTTATTCAGGAAGTTGCCCTACCTGTAGCCCTTTACGAACAAGAGCAGTGATTCCTCCTAACAGAGAACGAATTCTCTTTTGTTGAGTTTGACTTGTTTAGAAGGTTAAACTCTAAGAACTGATAAGCACTCAGTGCCGGGCCTATGCTAAGGCTTTGGCTTTCAGTGTTCTTGCCACTCATCTCATGCTGGCCTCAGCCCCTCAGGGACAGCTTAGCAAGAGACACAGATGGGTGGAGGGTGCCTGGATCAGAAGACCTGGTATCTCATGTACCCCCACCCAGGCTGAAAGGGGGCCTTCTTCACCCTGAAAGGAGACACTTTGTGGTGCCTGGTTTTCAAAATATCACTCCCCGAACACTCCTACCTCAAAAAAGAAACACTAGATAATGAAACTATAGATCTCAAAATGGAATGAGACAACATCTGGCACAAACTGCAATGGCCCTGGGTGCAAATTCTGGGAACAAGTCTTTTAGTCCCATGAGAATTCAATTTGTTTCTCAAAGAACCAATTTCTTCACTAAATACCATCTGGGTTTAAAAAAAGAGGGCCAGTAGAACAGTCTAGCTCCAGGCGACGATCCACCTAACAGGATTATTGCACCAGCCAATCTTCAGTTCACTTTTTGTGGAATCTGATGCTCAGGATCTAAAGGGGGATTTCTCCAAAGATTTCCTACAGCCTTTCAATGAGAATCCAGAACAGTCTTTCCTTCTCTCTCTCTCTTCCTATATATTTATTTATTCCCTCCCTCACCCATGAAAAATCAGTAGTTTTTAATGGTAATTGTTGGCTAAACATCTAAAGAATAATTTTCAGTGAATTATTAAAAATTACCCATGATTCTTATCCAATTTTCTTGGCTGACCAAAATATTTAAAAAGCTGGTTGTTTTTAAAATGTTGTTAAAATACTTCTTGGAAAATAAATAGTGGTTATTTCAAATAATTACATTGGTGTGTTTTTTTTTTTTCTAATTTAACAGACATTTCTTCTCTTTCTCTTTGATCCTTTCACCCCCACAGGAAGACCAGCAACAACCTAAAGGAACACTCAAGACCTGAAGACTGCAGGGAGCTGGCAGTAGGGGAGACCAGGGCACCAGAATGCACTGGGGCTGGCTATCTGGAAAACACGGGGTTAGAGTGCAAAGGCAAAGGGAGCATCACACTCTTTCTAAAGTTCCTGGAAGAAAACGAACAAGAACATCTTATTTTTGTAAAAAAAAAAAAAAAAGAGAGAAAGACATTTACACAACCAACAAGAACATCAGTGAAAGCGATTGTCTCCTGGAAAAAGCTGACCAGTGTGTCTGATCTCCCTGGGTTAAAGCACACGGCACAACAATCTCCTCGTTGGCATCTGAAGAGAGGGAGAGAGCATGTGGCTGGGCACAGCAAGAGAAACAAGTCCTGGCTCACTGGAGGCCAGCTTCCCAGTCGGCTGCATGCAAAGGATTTCAGCATGTGGGCTGCCACCTCTGAACACCACACAGAAACTACATGAGAAATTAAGCTAGAGAACTACCTCAAATGTGGAAACCAAGCCTAAAAATGTGCAGTGAAAACATATGGGTCTCACTCCAACAAATGTCTTTTAAACATTAGACTCCACAAATGGTCTCTTTGGTTTGATAGGGGATGTCTGCCCTTGTCGAGAGTCCCGGGACAACTGCCTGTACAGGTTGTCCTGGTATGCCTGAGCCACAGGGAGGGTCCGAGCCACCTTCACATCGGGGTAGGAGGAGGCCTGGCTGACTCTCTCCAAGAGGTCTCCGCGGGACCCGTTCGCCAGCATCCCATGGGGGCTGTAATAATCGTCCTCCAGCAAATGGCCATTCTGTGCATTGTTGGTTTTGTTATAAAAGGCAATGTTGCTGATGGATGATGGTGGGCTGAAGGACTCAGGCTGAGGCAAGTTGCCTGGAGACGTGGGGCTGAGAACGGTATCCACTGATGACACTGCCCAGGTCCGATTCTGCTGGTGAAGATGGGGGTACTGTTGAGTCCGGGCTGTTTTATCTATGATCCCCATGAATGGTGTGGTCCTGGATCGGGTGGGCTCACTGGGGTAACCTCCTTGAGTGGGAGACACTGGCGACAGCTCGTCACATGACCTATCATATGCGGGTTTTAGTGGGATCTCCATCTGTTGAATCGAGGAGGATGGCCGGAAGGTAGGTGTTAGGTTGGAGGCAGACGAGATACTATTGCTAGATGGAGAGAAGCGAAGGCCTACGCTTTGGGAGTGCAGCAATGGCCTAGGAGTTGGTGGGTGGGGTTTGATTTCATTGGGGTTGACACCAATAGGTCTTCTGATTAGATGCGACACATCAGGGGAACCTAGTTGGCTAGAGGAACGCTCCAGATCTAGTTTTGAGTGACAGACTGGGTAATAGGATGCGGACTGACTACGTCCAATCTGTGGTGTCTGGCTGTATCTCATGCCACCTCGATATGCCGAGGAAGGTCGCTGTGGAAGGTCTTCTTTGGTCAACCCTCCATGCTGACAGATGGCGCCTGCACTCAGACTGGCCTGGACATGCTGCACAGGTCTCCCATCCCCAACAATCCCCCCAATTGACCCTTGATAAACCAACCGGCTCTGACTGACTCCTAGGTCCCCTTGTGAAGACTGGTACTTACTAGCCATTGAGTGGGCTACCTGACCATAGGCCCCTGTGGAGATGACAGTGCTTGAATGAACAGCAGAGCTGGGCTGGTTGCTTCTCACAATCTGGGCCTTAGCAGGCTGTAGCCTGAGCCCTTGCTGGGGAACCGCCACAGGAAGCTGAGGCATCTGGTAGGGCCTCTGGGCCATTTTGGATAATGGAGATTTCGGCCTGCCAGGAAGCTGACTAACATTTGTTTCTTGCTGATAGCGCACAGGCGAGCCGGACTGGGCTCTATAGACACTCATGCTTTCAGCTGGAGGGCTGGCCCGATACTGAGGGCCTCTTCGGAGAGGGGAAGGGGGAGGGCTTGGGTATTCTTTGCCCTGCCCTCCCACAGGAGGGGGGCTAAAGCGGTAAGATCCACCCTGATGAGCCGGGGAAGTATGTGGTGGACTAGGCCTGTAATGAGAGTTCTGGTGAGTTGGAGAAAGAGCAGGTGAGGTGGACTGATAGCTCTGTCTAGTGGGAGAACCTACAGAACTACTGGACCGGAAGTCAAAAACCTGATGAGAGCCAAGCGGTGAGCTGGAGATGTAGGCGGAGTCCCTATGGGCTGGAGAGGAGGGTGGGCTCTGGATGATCGGGAGCCCCTGACTGGGCCGTGCCTCTGTCTGGAGGCCAATGGAAACATTTTCAACATCCTGCTCCAAGTACTCTTCCTCGAAAATGTCTTGCACAGAGTATATGTCTTCATGCTGTGGTTCAGGTTCTGCTTCTTCTGGTAGCTGCTGCTGAGGTGGCTGTGGTGGCGGCTGCTGCTGCTGCTGCTGCTGCTGCATCTGCCTACACTCCTCCTCCACTCTCATCAGGAGTCTCTGGATCTCACGGTTGTTTGGACACAGCTTGATGGCCTCGTTCAGATCCTCTAAGGCTGCTGCAAACTGTCTGCTTAACAAAACGTAAACACAGGAACTGGAGTTACTCTGAATCAACAGGAACCGCCCAGAGCTGAGAACATGGTCACTATTTCAGAGAACTGTGGGAGCATCTGTCAGAGTCGGGGGTTTTTGGTTTTATTTAATTTGTAAGGAAGGAAACAGGTAGGCTGTCATTCTAGAGGAGTCCAGAATGATTCTCTAACCCGTTCTGCCTCCATCTTCCTTCTGGCCTCTCTGGGATTAGTGAAGAAATGTCCTCATTTTGTCAGTCCAGCCAGGCCCTTCAGGAAGATTCTCTTAGTGCCCAAATGCACACCAGGCAGTATGAGGGTTGGGTGGGGTTGTCATTTACAGGGTCACTGTCAATTAGCTTAGGAATAAAATAATAACTACAATATTTAAAAATCTTGCTGATCCAGCAGAATTTTTTTGTTATATTCTTAATATTTTGGCTCCAAGTTTCAGGCCTGTTCCATCCTAGGCAAGAACCCTGTCTTCTGCCCTTCCTAACCCTCATCCCACAGCACTATTGCTCCTCCATTCTGCTACATCAAAGCTGGGAAGATATTAGGCTTGCTGACTAGGCAGCTCAGATTCTAATTTACAAATTAGGACGTGAACTATCAAAGATTTCCCATTCTCTCTACTAATATTGCCCAGAAAAGGAGCCATTTCATTTGTGGGGAAGGAATTATCTGGTGGGAAAGAGAACTTGACAGTCAAGCTTCTGAAGAGCTTCACTACCCCAGCTAGTTAAGATTAGAATTACTGCCACTGTCGTCACTGGACTTACCCTGGGTTTGATTTCCAGGACCATATCCCCGCCCTGGTTATATCAGTGAGCCTGAAGCAGTTCTTTCCCACGCAGTTTGGGAAAAGGGTGGGATGCTGGCAGGAGGCATCAAGGACAGGGACAAGTTATCCGAAGATCACTGATGGCAGGTTCTAGGTCTTTCTGGGACCCTTCCTGCCCACTGGCCAAACCACAGCAGGTGGGCATGAGGGATGGAGTCCATTGTGGGTCCCCTCAATCCTGGCAGCAAGGGCCTCCTGTCTCCACGAGTTTGTGGTGTGGGTGGTAGGGCTTTAGGTAAGAAAGAGGTTTGATGCCACCAGACTTGAGGGGAGCCCCCCAAGGAAGACCAAACAATCCAGGGATCCCCCAAATGCCTACAGGAAGAGAAAGAGGAGCCTGTGATGTACGTGACCCACCCCACTTTTCCCTCTGAAAGGGTCGAGGGGATGTCGCTCAGTGACCTCTTCCTAAGTCACCAGTGTCTCCTTATGCTACCTGCTTGGGGGTTAACACGATTGAGAGATGGCGGAGGGTTCTTAAAAGAAGGTGCCACTCTCCAACATGAAAAAGACGTTTTTCACCCAAAGCAAAATGCGCTAGATTTCCACAGCCCGGAAGACTTGCCAACCTTAAGCTGAGTATTGCTATGGGAGCCATCCCCTAAGCGTGGCCCTACGAGTCCTCAGGGATAGACACACATGGGTACATATGCCCCAGGATGGCCTACATTGCCTTGGCCAGATTTTCAGAAAAGAGACCTCTTGCTTTTTACCCTCTCTCTCTCTCTCCTCACCTGCTGCTGCGTTTTGCCCTTGCTCTTGCATAGTAAGCTTCATAAGATTTCGGTTTCAGCTCCAGGGCCTTAGTAGCAAATTCCTCCGCCATTCCAAAATCCTGTCATTACAATAGGTGTGCAAATGAGTCATTGAAGAGATATGAAAAATAGACAACTTGGGAATAACACAGATCATATGTACATTTCTTTGACACTTATGGATGGAATACCTGGGATTCCTGACATGCCTGGTATAGCTTTAGCCATGTGGCCCACAGCTTGAAAGTTCCTTCTGCCTTTGCCCTGTGTGGCCCTGCAACCACTCATAGGAATGTATCTGCCCATAAGTATAAAAATACTTTTAATTTGCCTTCTTTCTGCCTTTCTCACAAAGTTCTTTCTAGGCCAGAAGCCAAATGTCAACCCAATGAAGTGCCTGAAGTTGGAAACCTGAACTCATTACACACGCATGAATGAGGCCAACACACATAAATAATCACCTCCCATGACACACGCCTACACCTCACATGGAAATTCACCCTACCTCCCACCTCCCTGCCACACCCACTATTCCTTGGTTTTCCAAGGGATGAGTGAAATCCAAGAGGATGAGGTCTGCACTGGCTAGATGGAGTAAGGACAGTGTTTAATTATCTGGTCTGCTTTGTGCCCTTTCAGAATGTGTTGTATGTTTTCTTTTTAAAAATATATTTAATTGATTTTTTACAGAGAAGAAGGGAGAGGGATAGAGAGTGAGAAACATCGGTCAGCTGCATCCTGCACACCCCCTACTGGGGATGTGCCCGCAACCAAGGTACATGCCCTTGACTGGAATCGAACCCGGGACCCTTTGGTCCGCAGGCTGACGCTCTATCCACTGAGCCAAACCGGTCAGGGCTGTATGTTTTCTTATGCATACCTACTTCACAGGTAGAATAAGAGCAATACAGCATTTGAATGCTTTGTAAACAGTTCTTGGCACAAAGTAGATGCTCAGTAAGTGGTAGTTTCCTTTTTATTTCAGAGGACTTCTCTGGTCTGTTTCTTCTCTTAAATGGTTCCTTATTTAGGAAACATTTAAAGTAAAAAAAACAAAAGAGGACCCTGTCTGTG